AGCGTATCTTTACTGTTAGGTGCATCTTTTTCAAAGACAACTCATTTCACTTGGAACAAGTTAATTGATTCAAATGCTGAGTTGTGGGTGCTCTTTTTTTATATAAATTCTAATTAATGCATAAATAATTCATTCTGGATCCCTCTGAGATGTCTCATAACTACAGATTTCTTCATCCACAGTTAGCATTTCAATGTTGCAGTCTAACATCCTTCAGTAAAAATGTGGATATGGCTTATGAATTATTCATACAATATATACTCACAGGTAAGCTGAGAATTTTTGGTGCAAAAATACACTCCCAAAATTGGGTTTGTCTTATCTGCAGATGGATTTATCCATGAATGTGTATGATAATAGTGTTGCTTAGCTATCAGTAATATAATAGGAACCTTGTAAAACAATTTCTGTCACTCTAATCATTTTTAGAGGGCAACATTGGCATCATATGGAAATCTGTGAAGAATGCCAAAAAAAATCAAGATGGCTGCTTTTTTATCATGTTCTGGCTGCCAACTTTACCCCTACCTGCAGACACTTCTGTACAAAATCATCCTTCTTTCTAGACCAGTGTTGTCCTTTGGTTCTACAGTGGTAGTGGCCATTATTTTTTATTCATAGTTTAGCTCTATATTTTTATTTGTAAACTTGACAGTGAATTTATATTATAAGAACATAAGCCATGCTATTTAAATTTCTCCCATATGTTAAAAAAAAAACTTACAGAAAGAAAGGGCAAAAATGCCCTTGTACAAAGTAGAATATCAGAAATAGGGCTATGCTTAAACTTTTCTTTCAAACTATAGTTGTCTCCCTGAAGAAATGTAACACACAAGGTTTGTAAGCATGAACATTTATTGACCAAATATCTATATCTTAAAGAGAAATATATTTAAATTTCTAATCGGGGGTGGGGAGACAAACACTTGTGATCTACTATGAAGTAGTATGTGTAGATTTTAATCGCAATGCAACAACCATGTCAGTCTGTTTCTATTGGCATCACTTTTGCAGATATTCACTCAAATATCCGTTCCATTTTAATGTGTTTTAATTGTATTTATGTATTAATCTTTTATGCTGCTCATCTTCCCTACAAGGGCAACTTACAAGTTATAAAATAAGTAAAAATAGTTAAAATGTTTTTTTTTAAAAAATAGAATGACACATATTAACATCTTATCAAGATTAATATGAATGTTCATACTAATGAATGAACATTAATAATATGGACATTTGGATTTAAATACATATTTCAACATTTATTCTCAAAACATATATTCCTACATGAACAAATATCCATTTATGCATTCATGATCTGTTGTTTTGAGTGAAGAGTTGTAACATAACATTTTGACAACTGCAAATCCTAGATCTTACTTTGTGAAAAGTTGCAAAGCACAGATTAGTGAAGCAGCCCTAGATTTATAGCTTCTTGTCTCAATGAACAGCAATATCTTCTTACATTTCAAAAAGATCAGTCTTTTATATTGTATTTTATCATCAGAACAACTCTATGAGATAAGTTTGTCTGAAGGATGGTTTGCTCAGTGTAAAAAATTTTCATGACTGAATGGGAATTTGAATTCCCATCAAATTCCTACTCTATAACTGCACAGAGCTTTTTATTATTGTTATTACTTCTCTACATAGAAATATTGAATAAACCATTCTTCACACTAACAATTTCTATATCAAATTATTCCAGTTGCCACACTATAAATATTCTGAAGTACAAACACTAGTATTCCAAGCTATCATGGCCAATATTTATATTGATTATGTACAGTATATACTTAAGTAAGAGACAGTTTGATGTAGTGGTTAAGGCATCAGGCTAGAAATCAGGAGAAACTCATCCTGCTCCAATTCGATGACCTTGAGCCAGTCATTTTCTGTCAGCCCTAGAAAGGAAGAAATGGCAAATCACTTCTAAATAACGACAAGAAAACTGCAGGGACTTGTCCATACAATCTCTGAGAATTGAACATGATTGAATGGAAGAAGAAAAATTCTGTGATTCTAATGTAGATAGAAGAAATGTTCTTCATTGAATTATGGTGCTGCTTAATTTAAAGAATTAGGGAGGAGAGAGGTGGGAGGAGGGAGGA